AACTGCAGTGATTCATTTAAACAACTATGGCTGACTTCAATCTGACCTAAGCATAGTACATAAAATTATCTGCCACAATGTCCTTCCTGTCAATGACTACTTCAGCTTCAACCACAACAATACACGAGCAAACAATAGATACAAACTCAAGGTAAACCGCTCCAAACTCGATTGCAGAAAATACGACTTCAGCAACAGAGTGGTCAATGCCTGGAATGCATTACCTGACTGTAGTTTTCTTCCCCAAACCCCCAAAACTTCAACCTTAAACTGTCTACTGTTGACCTCACCCCACTCCTAAGAGGTCTGTAAGGGGTGTGCATAAGTGCACCAGTGTGCCTACCGTCCCTGTCCTAATATTCCTTTTTACTTACTTTTTTCATGTATTCCAATTATTTTTATACTTTTATGTGTTATCTTAATATGCTTGACAAATAAACTTATGATTATGATTATGGCAAGAAAGGTCATAAATTGGGCAATGGGCAGCCCTCCCGAGCTCCGTTTTTGCTGGCAGAGGCATCGCAGGCTGGTCCTTCACTGTTTCCAGAGCAGCCACATCTAAACACCTTGAGTTTGACATTCCTGCTCTATACCACTTTTGACAAATGGCTGTCTAATCTCTTCCTAAAAGCCTCCAATTTTGGAGCACCCACAACTTCTGGAGGCAAGTTGTTCCACGGATTAATTGTTCTAACTGTTAGGAAAATTCTTCTTATTTTCAGGATGCTTCTCTCTTTGGTCAGTTTCCATCCATTTCTTCTTCTTCTTCTTCTTCTTCTTCTCTTCTTCTTCTCTTCTTCTTCTTCTTCTTCTTCTTCTTCTTCTTCTTCTTCTTCTTCTTCTTCTTCTTCTTCTTCTTCTTCTTCTTCTCTTCTTCTTCTTCTTCTTCTTCTTCTCCTTCCAAAAAGTTTTTATTTTTATTTCTCATAAGCATATTTGAGTGTACCATCTTTTTATTCGTCCTTTTTTCATTCATCTTATCTTTTAACTTTCATTTTTAGTTGTTCGGGGCTGCTCTTTACCATTTACCCTCCTTTATTTTACCACAACTTTTCGTCTTCTAACTCTCGTTGATCTTATTGAGTCTGATCCTGAAAATATTGCAACATGCTGCCCTTTTCCGGAGACTCAGGGTGGCTTACAATGCGTTAAGCAATAGCCTTCATACTTTTGTATATACCTGCTTAGTAGGGCTTTCGCCCCCCACCCTAAGCGGTGTTCTATTTTATACAAAGTCAGCTTATTGCCCCCACAATCCGGGTCCTTATTTTACCTACTGTACCTTGAAAGGATGGAAGGCTGAGTCAACCTTGAGCCTGGTGAGATTTGAACTTGCAGTAATTGCAGGCAGCTGGTGTTACTTAACAGTGCTTTAGTCTGCTGAGCCACCAAGGCTCTTTCCTTCCTCCATCTCTTCCTACTTTCTTCGTTCTTCCTCTCCTTCTCTTTCCTACTTCCCTTTCCCTTCCCCCACTCCTCTCTTCTTCCTCCCTTTTAAACCCTCTCTCCTACTCATCTTTCCCCTCTCTTTTCTTCCTCTCCTTTTACCTCTTTTCTATCTCTCCCTTCCTCTCTTCTTCCTTCCTCTTTCTCTACTCCTTTCCCTCTCTCTTGTTGTTTCCCTTTTCAATTCAATCTAGAATGGTATTCGAGCAGACCCAATTATCTATTTGCATCCATCTTCATTTCAGTTTCTTACTTGTTTAGTAATTACATCTGTTTCATCATTTGTGTACACTTTTATAATAATCTCACTTTTTCCCTTTCCCCTCCTCTTCCCCCTTTTCCCTTTACTTAGGCATCGTCTGGGTTTCTATTCTTCTAATTATTTTTTCTCTTTTTCATCTTTTCCCTATCTATTTTATCTCCATACCTTTATTCATATTTCTTTTCTAACCAATCATAAATTTTTCCCCATGTCTTCAAATACATCGAGTCCTCTTTATCTTTTATTCTCAGTGTTAGTCTATTCACCCATTGCTTCTTGTCCTGCCTTCTGGTGCTTTGGAGGACAGATTGACCACCTCTTCTTTCTGCCAACCCCTCAAATATCGGAAGACTGCTATCGTGGTCACCCCTAAGTCTATTGATCTTTATTCTTTTAACATTTTGACATTTTATCTTGTTGCTACCTTTCACACTAGGTGAGATGAGCGCAGTGGTGAAATCCAAATTATTTTACTACCGGTTCTGTGGGCGTGGCTTGGTGGGTGTGGTGTGGCTTGGTGGGCGTGGCAAGGGAAGAATACTGCAAAATCTCCATTCCCACCCACTCCAGGGGAAGGATACTACAAAATCCCCATTCCCTCCCCACTTCTGGGGGAAGGATATTGCAAAATCTCCATTCCTACCCCACTTTGGGGCCAGTCAGAGGTGGTATTTGCCGGTTCTCCAAACTACTCAAAATTTCCTCTACCGGTTCTCCAGAACCTGTCAGAACCTGCTGGATTTCACCCATGAATGAGTGGCATATACATTTAATAAATAATGGGACGATTTCCAGGGGGGAAAAAAATTCAGAAGGAAAATCTGGTGTGAAGTGTGCAATCAGGTTAGAACAGGGGTCTCCAAACTTGGCAACTTTAAGACTTGTGGACTTCAACTCCAAGACTTGTGGACTTCAATTCTACAAGTTCCTCAACTTGTGGAATTGAAGTCCACAAGTCTTGAAGTTGCCAAGTTTGGATTGGATTAGAAGAACAGCTTTTGAGGACGGGGGCAGTTTCTTTGTTTTGTGTTGTGTTGGTGTTGTGTTGATGTTTTGTTTTGTTTTGTTCCAGATGCGCTCTCCCATTGACATAACGGAGTACAAATTGGAGCAAGATTTAAACCTACCTGGGACAGCACCTTCACTTCATTTATTGCAAGGCGCGAGCAAGCCAACGCCGGTATTATGTGATTAAGCTACATCTGTCTCGGCGGAAGCAGTAACCGTATATCTTGAAGTTCAGCAGGTGTTTTGCAAAGAATCAAAAGGATTTTCCATGAAATTAGGCCTATAATAAAAAGGTGCAGCGACGAAGAGGCAGTCTTTTATACCGTTGATATACGAGCGTTGGCTTCTAATAAATGTCATTCCAAGATATTTTAAAAACCTCCAGCAGCAGAACTGTTTCCACCCCCCCACCCCACCCCCAACAACATATTTCGCAAGTGCCTCGGTGCAAAGATGTTCTTTTATAGATGTACAGTTTGGAAATTTTTTATTTGGCATTGCTAAATGAGCAGCTTTTTTTCCGACTTTGCGAAAGAGAAGAGAGAGAACGGAGGAAAGGAAAAAAAAAAAGAAAAGAAAAGAAAACTGTTTTGCATCTGTTAGCTCTGATGTTAGGATATTAAATTTAGTAGCTTGGAACAGTGAAGTGTGCAGTGGGCCAAAGCACATGATTGTAACAAAGCAGCGTCTGCATTTCCTGCGTCGGATGAGGAGAGCACATCCTTCTCCTTCTGTCTGGGCCACTTTTTACAGAGGCACGATGGAGAGCGTTTTCACAAACTGCATCCCTGTTTGGTTGGGTGGCAGCAGCGCCTCCGATAGAAAGTCCCTACAGAGAGTGGTAAGGACAGTGGAGAAGTTTATAGGAAGCTTGCTTCCCGTTGTTCAGCATACCGCTTATAAGCGCTATGTGCTTAGAACTCAAAGCATTGTTAGAGACCCCTACACACCCACTTCACGGTCTGTTTCTGTTGCTCCCCTCTGGGAGGAAGTTTCAAAGTATTAGCAAGTATTCCAAGTAGCAAGACTGCCAGATTCTGGAACAGCTTTGTTCCCTATGCCATCCGTCTGATTAACTCGCAAGATTCATTTTTCTCACCATGTACATGTATACATCCGAACTAGATTTTTTCTGTGTCATATAATATATGTGGGTATATGCATAATTATGTATGTATGTATGTATGTATGTATGTATGTATGTATGTATGTATGTAGGCATTTAGTCGTGTTTATGTGGTATATATTGGAGGTGGTGATCCTTTGAGAGCTGTATGCAACAAAAATTCATTTTATGCCAATTAGTGTACATTTAAAGTGACAATAAAGTTATTCTATTCTATTCCGTTCCGTTCCGTTCCATTCCATTCCATTCCATTCTATTCTATTCTATTCTATTCTATTCTATTCTATTCTATTCTATTCTATTCCATTCCATTCCATTCCATTCTATTCTATGTAGTTGATTGGTTGGAAATTGTTAGCTCGTGCATGAGGCAATCTACGCTATGATTGGTTGCTGTAAATAAAAGGAGGAGTTTCCCTCCCCACAACCTTTTTCTTCTGTGCATTCTGTACAGGCAGTCCTGGACTTACAACAGTTCATTTAACAACCATTCAAAGTTACAACACTACTGAAAAAGTGACTTATGACCATGCTTCACACTTTTGACCGTTGCAGTATCCCCTCAGTCACCTGATTTATTCTATTCGCTGCCTCCCGAGTCCCAACTGATAGGCTAGAAAGAAAAAAAAAACTGTTTAAACTCTTGCTGCGGGGCTTCAAAGGGCCGCCCTACAGCTGATCAGTGTTAAAAGGCAGTGTGGTGGTAGACCAGTGTGCTTGAAAAACAAATGAGTAGACCGGTGCCTCCAAAAACAAATGAGTAGACCAGGGCCTCCAAAAACAAATGGGTAGACCGGTACAGCTCTGCAAGCAGTTAAAAGCCTGGTAGACCAGTACCTCTGCTAAATCCTAAAGAATTGTCACATGACCATCAAACCACGCCCACAAAATAAGCCACGCCCACAGAACCGGTAGTAAAAAAAAAATAGAACCCACCCCTGCTCAAGATCCAAACCAGGACAAAGCCATTAAGCCACAATAGGAATTGCCCAGCACTCCTTCATTGGATCAGCAGCCCAAACTTCAACCAAACTTTTCAGAGAACCTACAGAGCCAGCTATGACTGCAACACTGCCCCGTGGGAGTCGGACAACAGCCAATAGAATACATGTTTATTTATTTTATTTGTCAAGCATATATAAGATAACAGGTAAAAGTACAAACATAATTTGAATACATGAAAAGAGTAAGAGTAAAAAGGAATATTAGGACAGGGACGGTAGTGACGCTGGTGCACTTATGCACGCCCCTTACAGACCTCTTAGGAATGGGGTGAGGTCAACAGTAGACAGTTAAAGTTTTGGGGGTTTGGGGAAGAAACCACAGAATCAGGGAGTGCATTCCAGGCATTGTCCACTCTGTTGCTGAAGTCATATTTTCTGCAATCGAGTTTGGAGCGGTTTACCTTGAGTTTGTATCTATTATTTGCTCGTGTATTGTTGTGGTTGAAGCTGAAATATATATAAATCGCAATAATAAATAAATAAATAATAATAAATAGTCATTGACAGGAAGGACATTGTGGCAGATAATTTTATGTACTATGCTTAGGTCAGACCAAAGTCGTCATAGTTCTAAGTTGTCTAAGCCCAAAATTTGGAATCTGGTGGCATAAGGTATTTTATTGCGGTTAAAGGAATGGAGGACTCTTCTCGTAAAATATCTCTGGACTCTCTCAATTGTATTTATGTCCGATATGCAGTGCAGGTTCCAGACAGATGAACTGTATTCGAGAATTGGTCTAGCAAATGTTTTGTATGCTCTAGTTAGTAGTACAATATTACCAGAGAAGAAGCTACTCAAGATTAGGTTAACAACTCTTAATGCCTTTTTGGCAATGTTGTTACAGTGGGCTCTGGCACTTAGATCTTTAGAAATGAGTACTCCAAGGTCCTTGACAGAGTGAGGGCCAACTACAAAGTCATGTCCCATCTAATTTCTAAGTCATGTTCTTGCACAGGAGCAGGAAGCTCAAATTCAAAGCCCAAGAGAAGATATGAAAACCTCTCACTCTCAACTCCATGTGGTCAGCTGCCCAGAATCCACGTCATTCTGCTTCATCATTAAATCCTCTTTCTAATCAGCCTCCAGCCTCCATTTTGTCTAGAATGCCTTTCTACCAGCTTAGAACTGAACCAGATGGATATTTCTTCCATCAAAAAGACTACGTCTTTCTGGCTTCTTCTGGACAGCTGCTACACAATTCCTTGACAAACGCATCAAAGACTTTACAATGAACCAAAACGCAAGTTTTGCAAAGCCCACAATCCTCCATTTTCCCTTTGGCCCTGCGGATCACGCCTGATCATTGTCAGATGATTTTATGGGGTCTTGCAAAAAATAAAATAAATCAAAAATAAAATCTATATTTGATTGTGAAAATGACACCTGAATGCACGACAAAATTAATGTCAGGGGGTTGCCGACCTTCTTTTTCGAAAAGAAAGAAAAAGAAAGTCGCTAAAAATCAATCATCTTGATAGAACTGAGAACAAAATGGCACGATTTTATGCAAAACGTGTATTTCACCATTAGGTTATGAGTGCGCTTTATATATAATGCTGCTCAGAAAGGTCATAAATGCATTTTATTTTATTTTTTTGGCCTACTTTACAGGCTGTGACATGTACAAAAAACCCCATTGCTTGGAGTTAAAAAATAAAAAAAAAGAAGAAGAATTTTCAGTCCCAGGTTGGACTGTGAATGAGGCAACTCTCAGATCTTAGAAATGTGGGTAGCACGCAGGGGTGAAATGCTCCTGGATCGGACCAGATCGCCTGATCCAGTAGCAATTTTTCCCTGTGGTTTGGCGATCTGGTAACGATCACTGCCCGGGTGTCAATACTTTTTTTAAAATTATTTATTTATTTTTATATGCCGCCCTTCTCCGGAGACTCAGGGCGGCTTACAATGCATTAAGCAATAGCCTTCATACTTTTGTATATTTTATACAAAGTCAGTTTATTGCCCCCACAAACCGGGTCCTCATTTTACCTACCTTAGAAAGGATGGAAGGCTGAGTTGACCTTGAGCCTGGTGAGAATTGAACTCGCAGTAATTGCAGGCAGCTGGAAGCTAAATACTACCTTTAACAGTAGCATTAGTCTGCTGCGCCACTTTTAACCAGGAAGTAATGATTTTTTACCTTCTGCACATGCACAGAAGGTGTGTGTGCACATGTGATGTGCATGCAAGGGGTACGGAAGGTAAGTAGATTTCACCCCTGGTAGCATGCAAACCCGGATGGTGGAACTTGGCTTGAACAAAGTTTGCGAGACGTTCTGCATTGCTCATTCTCTCTCAGTTCAGCTTGGAAAGAAGAACAGGCTGTGAAGAAACAGAAGTAAATAAAGCTTATAAAAGACGGATGAAATTAGAACAGCTCTTCAGGCTTTGCCTGGCAGGAGAAAATGAAGGCAGTTTCCAAAATATCTCAAGGTTACGAAGACGGAGAAAACTATCTTAATACTGGAGCTCATTAGTGCATTAAAATAAAGAGAGAGAAAGAAATATGCAGCCATCATAAACTTTAATACTGCCTTTCCTGGTTGTTTCTAATTAAAATCTCTTTACTTAAGTTCTCTGTGTCTGTGGAGATTCTTAGTCATCATAGTTGTCCTAAAGGTGCTTTCTCAAAAGGCACCTGGACTTTGATTGTTTTTCCTTAAAGACGTTTCGCTTCTCATCCAAGAAGGTTCTTCGGTTCTGACTGAATGGTTTCCCCCTCAGTCAGTTAGAACTGAAGAAGCTTCTTGGATGAGAAATAAAACGTCTTCAAGGGAAAAACATGTTCATTTGCCTCTTGAAAAAGCACCTTTGAGACTCAGTCCTCTGTGTTTCTGGTTCTGCCTTTGGGCTTCGATATTTCTTGCAACCATTGTATAATACTGATATGCTGCCCAATTTCAGAGTCAAATTAATTCTGGAATATTTGAGGCATGATGGAATTCCTTCTTCAGGAATTCGAAAGAGAGTCAAGGTCACCATTGGAATCGTTAGACCTGGCTAATATCAGTAAGTGTCCTTTTGATAGAGAGAGGGTGTGTGATAAAGAGAAGAACAAAATAGGTCACAGGATCTCCGATTGATTGTGAAAATATTGTGAGAAAGGGAAGAAATGGTGCAGAAAATTGATCAGATTATGAAGTTGAAGGAGAAGTTGAAGGAGAAGGAAAAATAGGAGAAGGAGATGGAGAAGAAAGAAGGAGAAGGAGATGGATAGAAGAAGAAGAAGAAAGAGATGGACAGAAGAAGGAGGAGGAGGAGGAGGAAGGAAAGAAGGAAGGAGAAGGAGATGGATGGAAGAAGAAGAAGAAAGAGATGGATGGAAGAAGAGGAGGAGAGGAGAAGGATGGAAGAATAGAAGAAAAAGAGATGGATGGAAGAAGCAGAAGGAGGAGGAGGAGAAGAAGGAGAAGGCGATGGATGGAAGAATAAGAAGAAAGAGATGGATGGAAGGAGAAGGAGGAGGAGGAGGAGAAGGAGATGGATGGAAGAATAAGAAGAAAGAGATGGATGGAGAAAGCAGAAGGAGGAGGAGGAGAAGGAAGGAGAAGGATATGGATGGAAGAATAAGAAGAAAGAGATGGATGGAAGGAGAAGGAGGAGGAGGAGGAGGAGAAGGAGATGGATGGAAGAATAAGAAGAAAGAGATGGATGGAAGAAGAAAAAGAAGGAGAAGGAGAAGGAGGAGAAGGAGAAGGAAGGAAAAGGAGGAGAAGGAAGGAGAAGCAGGAGCAGGAGCAGGAACAGAAGCAGAAGAAGGAGTTGATTTTAATACAGTGCAGTCCTTGGTCCTCTCTGAGCTTGGTTGTTTTCTTGCAGATGTTTCATTACCCAATTAGATAATATTATAAGTGCTACAAATATTCTCTTCTATTGGCATAGTTACCAGTTCTCAATAGCAAATGATGATTTTTTAAAAAAAAAATTGGCCCGAATTTTATTTCTCTGAGTGCCAAGCTCCTAGGAATTTGCTAGTGTTTCTGGAATTGATTTGTTCTAAGAAGCTCACAGTTTGCTAGATAAAATAAACATCCAGATGAGCAACGAAGACCAAGATTAATATTAGACCAAAGATCACAAAGCAAACAATATCGCAATCAAGGATCTGCTAAACAAGTAAATAATAAACAACAGCCCACTCAAAAGACCACCAAGAGATCACTCCTACCAATGCAGACAGTATATATGAGTATATAAAAATAAGAGCAAATTCCACTCTCTTCTAGCACTGATGGTGTTACCTAGTTTGGTAATGAAACATCTATCAGAAAGCAACCAAACTAGTGAGCCACCAAGGACCCAACATTTCAACCCTGAGCTACAAGTATTTTCTTTTAACCAAGCCTATTGTATCTAAATAGAGAGCAAACCCCACTCCCTTCTAGCACTGATGATGTTACCTAGCTGGATAATAAAACATCTGCAAGAAACAGCCAAGGCAAGGTGAAATCCAGCAGGTTCTGACAGGTTCTGGAGAACCGGTAGTGGAAATTTTGAGTAGTTCGGAGAACCAGCAAATACCACCTCTGGCTGGCTCCCCAGGAGTGGGGAGGGAATGGGGATTTTGCAGTAGCCTTCCTGTGCCATGCCCACCAAGCCACATGATGCCTACCAAGCCACGCCCACAGAACCAGTAGTAAAAAAAAAAATTGGATTTCATCACTGAGCCAAGGACTGGAGGGCAGCAAGGACTTCACAGTTCAGATACAGATTTATTTTTATTTATTTATTTATTTTTAATTTGATTTATATGCCGCCCTTCTCCGGAGACTCAGGGCGGTTTACAAGGCATTAAGCAATAGCCTTCATACTTTTGTATATTTATACAAAGTCAGCTTATTGCCCCCACAAACTGGGTCCTCAATTTACCTACCTTAGAAAGGATGGAAGGCTGAGTCAACCTTGAGCCTGGCGAGATTTGATCTTACTTTAATTGCAGACAGCTGGTGTTAAATTTTATTTATTTATTTATTTATTTATTTATTAAATTTATATACCGCCCTATTCCTAAGGGACTCAGGGCGGTGAACAGCGAACGATAAAAATACATGTAATACAAACGTTAATAATAAAAAACCAATTAAAATATACTAAACATTCTGGTCCTAGATAATTCAAGACATCCTAGTTTAAAATAAAATCAAAAAGCAATATAAAGGGAAAGTTAGGCCAGGCCGGCCTGCTGAAACAGGAATGTTTTGAGGGCACGGCGGAAAGTGCGCAGATCCGGAATCTTCTGTATCTCTGAGGGGAGCTCGTTCCAGATGGTGGGTGCCCTCACAGAGAAGGCTCCCCCCCTGGGGGCCGCCAGTCGACATTGTTTGGCTGACGGCACCCTGAGAAGCCCCTCTCTATGGGAGCGTACTGGGCGGTGAGAGGCTATTGGTGGCAGAAGGCGGTCTCGTAAGTACCCCGGTCCTAAGCCATGGAGCGCTCTAAAGGTGGTAACTAAGACCTTGAAGCGCACCCGGAAGACCACCGGGAGCCAGTGCAGCTCGCGCAGGAGGGGAGCCACATGGGAGCGCCATGCTGCTCCCATAACTACCCGCGCGGCCGCATTCTGGACCAGCTGGAGCCTCCGGGTGCTCTTCAAGGGGAGCCCCATGTAGAGAGCATTACAGTAGTCCAGGCGTGAAGTGACGAGGGCATGAGTGACCGTTTTTAACGAGTCCCGATCCAGAAAGGGACGCAACTGGCGAATCAGGCGAACCTGATAAAAAGACCTCCCGGCCACAGCCGTCAAGTGTTCTTCTAAAGACAGCTGTGAGTCCAAGAGGACGCCTAAGTTGCGAACCCTCTCCGTGGGGGGCAATTACAGTGCTTCTGTCTGTTGAGCTAAACCAGGCTCCTATTTATTTATTTTATGCAATTTATATGCCGCCTTATCTCCGAAGATTCAGGGCGGCTCACAACAATAAAAATCCATAGTTCCTCATTAAAAGTGATATAAAATTAAAATTCAGATACAGATTAACAGAGTTGGAAAGAACCTTGTAAGTCATCTAGTCCAACCTCCTGCCCAAGCAGGAGATCCTACACCATTTCTGACAGATGGCAGTCCAATCTCTTCTTGAAAGTCTCAAGTGATGAAGCTCCCACAACTTCTGAAGGCAACTTCTCTTCCATTGATTATTTGCTCTCACTGTCAGAAAATTTCTCCTCATTTCTAGGTGAAATCTTTCCCTGTTCAGTTTCCATCCATTGTTCCTTGTCTGGCCTGCGGGTGCCTTGGAAAATAGTTTGACCCCTTCCTCTCTGTGGCAGCCCCTCAAATATTGGAAGACTGCTACCATGTCTCCCTTGGTCCTTCTCTTCACTAGACTAGCCATGCCCATGCCCTTCATACTTTTGTATATACCTGCTTAGTAGGGCTTTCGGGCCCCCCTAAGCGGTGTTCCTTTTTATACAAAATCAGCTTATTGCCCCCACAAACCGGGTCTTCTTCTTCTTCTTATCATCATCATCATCATCATCATCATCATCATCATCATCATCATCATCAAAGGAGCCTGGATAGCTCAACAGACAGAGCTCTGTAATTTAACATCAGCTGTCTGCAATTAAAGTAAGATCGAATCTTGCCAGGCTCAAGGTTGACTCAGCCTTCCATCCTTTCTAAGGTAGGTGAAATGAGGACCCAGTTTGTGGGGGCAATAAGCTGACTTTGTATAAATATACAAAAGTATGAAGGCTATTGCTTAACGCACTGTAAGCCGCCCTGAGTCTTCGGAGAAGGGCGGCATATAAATCAAATTAAAAAAAAAAAATCAATACTACTTTCCAACTCTTATTCTGCTACTCCTGCTGCTTCAGGCCCAGTCCGTACAGCTAGCCCTCACTTCCCATCTTTGAAAGAAGGTGGCAAAGTCATGCTCACCCCTTCTCTCTAAGGTCGACAGAAAATAGCCTCCTTCCATGAGTTCTTCCTTTGTAAGGAAAAAAAGAAAAAATAAAGATTTAACTTTCCTGAATGTGTTTCTTATTTTACAAGCGGGCGGACGGTGAGCTTTTGCAGACTCTGAAAAGGAAAAGGGAAAAGAAAAAAAGGCCAGGCCTCCTGTAATGGAATCCACATTTACAAAAGGGCTTTGGGTTTATTGCAGCAGATAAGTAGGGTTGGGGAGGACAATAGTGAGGAAGGACAGTGGAATAGATTGCTTTTTAGGTGAAGAGGAAGCCATCCTCTTTAACCTTCGGCTAATGAAAGTGGAGAATCTCCGCCGACCTAAAAAAAACCTGAATAGCTATTCAAGGAGGCCAAGAATAGCCACCGAAGGCACTTAATATTATAGGACACAGGGAGGTTAGGCGGTGAAAAGGCAGGGTTCATCTGAGATGTGGCGGAGAGGTTTTTCCTTCTCCCACCCTGCTACTAAGAGTCTACCCTTTCAAAAAAAGAAGAATGAGGCTCACCTTAGCTCTGTATTGAGGTTACCGGATCTGGGTTGCAAAGATCCGGAAGGTCTGCTAGAGGATGGGAAAGTGATGTGTTAACCCTTTGGTGTCATTAGTGGCCAGCTGGAGGAGGAGGAAGAGGAGGGGAGAGGGGGAGAAGGAGGGGGCAGAGGGAGGAGGGAGGAGAAGGGGGAAGGGGAAGGGGGAAGGGAAGGAGGAGGTGGGTAGGGGTATGGAGAGAAGAGGAAGAGGAGGGGAGGAGGAAGGAGGTAGGGGATAAGGGGAAGAGGAAGGGAAGGAAGAGGTGGGGAGGGGGTAGAAGGAGGAGTTGGGGAGAGGAGGGGGGAAAAGAGGAGAAGGAGGGAGGAGGAGGAGAAGCAGAGAGAGGAGGAGAGGGGAAAGGACAGGGGAGGAGGAAGGGAAGGGTTGTTATGGAGAGGGAGAAGGGGAGGTGGGTAGGAAGAGGAGGAGAAAGAGGAAGAAGAGGAGAAGGGAGGGGGAGAAGAAGGATGATGATGAAGATGAGGAGAATGGGAGAGAGAAGGATTGGGGAAGTGGAAGGAAAAGGTGGAAGGAGGAGGAGAAATGGAAGAAGCAGAAGGAGGAAGAGAAGCAGAAGTGGAAGTGAAGAGGAAGAGGAGGAAGAGCAGGAAAGAGAAGGAGAAGGAGAAGAAGAATAGCAATAGCACTTAGATTTATATACCACTTTGCAGTGCTTTACAGCCCTCTCTAAGCGGTTTACAGAATTAGCCTCTTGCCCCCAATAATCTGGGTCCTCATTTTACCCACCTCGGAAGGATGGAAGGCTGAGTCAACCTTGAGCCTCATGAGAGTTGAACTGCCAAATTGCAGTCAGCCGGCAGTCAGCAGAAGTAGCCTGCAGTACTGCATTCTAACCACTGTGCCACCGTGGAAGAAGGAGGAGGAGGAGGAGGAGGAGGAGAGGAGGAGGAGGAGGAGGAGGAGGAGAGGAGAAGAGGAGAAGAGGAAGAGGAGGAGGAGGAGGAGGAGGAGAAGAAGAAGAAAAAGGAGAAGGAGAAGGAGAAGGAGAAGGAGAAGGAGAAGAAGAAGAAGAAGAAGAAGAAGAAGAAGAAGAGAAGAAGAAGAAGAAGAAGAAGAAGAAGAAGAAGAAGAAGAAGAAGAAGAAAAGAAGAAGAAGAAGAAGAAACTTTATTCAGCCACTTGTATGTCATACAATTCAATGTACTAAAACACGGTAATATAAATGAAATATGACCCAAAACTTACAACTGAGCCAAACGACGAAGCTAGAGTCCTACAAAAAGCGTTTTAACCCATAAAAATCAACAGAGCCTACAATCTATTAAAAATGAACAGTGAGATTGAACTTGTAAAAACCTATGCATTTATAGCAGCAAAAAGACCAATTATTCTAATATATTGGACTGACTATGAGAAATACTTGGGCAAAAGGGTCATTGAGAGAAGAATTGTCCATCTCATTCTGTTATAAAAGGAAGTTGCCCAGAGTTGTATGGAGTTGATTGATTGATTGATTGATTGATTGATCGTGCCATCAAGTGATTTTCAACTTTTAACAATCACATTTTGATCTATTATTTTTTTCCCCATGATGATCTGTCGATGATTGTCCCAAAAGTGCTTTTTTTCAGGAGGCAACTGGACTTTCTTTCTTGTTTTTTTTTTTTTCTTTTGAAGATGTTTCGCTTCTCATCCAAGAAGCTTCTTCAGCTCTGGCTGGATGGTGGGGAAGGAAGGATTTGTATGAAATGTTATCATTAAGGCAACATACAATCATGGTGTACAAGTGTTTCACAATGAACTCTAGAATAGAATAGAATAGAATAGAATAGAATAGAATAGAATAGAATAGATAGATAGAATAGAATAGAATAGAGAAATAAGAATAGGAATAGGAATAGGGTAGGGTAGGATAGGGTAGGTAAGATAGCATAGCATAGCATAGCAAGCATAGCATAGCATAGCATAGCATAGCATAGCATAGCATAGCATAGCATAGCAATAGCATAGCATAAGCATAGCATAGCATAGCATAGCATAATAAAATACATATTAATAGGATAGGATAGGATAATCACTGAACAACCGGCTTAGTAACTTATCAACTGCAGAGTAGAAATAGTAGAGTAAGTAGAGTAGAGTAGAGTAGAGTAGAGTAGAGTAGAGTAAAGTAGAGTAGAGTAGAATAGAATAGAATAGAATAGAATAGAATAGAATAGAATAGAATAGAATAGAATAGAATAACAGAGTTGGAAAGGACCTTGGAGGTCTTGTAGTCCAACCCCCTTCCCAGGCAGGAAACCCTACACCACTTCAGACAAATGGTTATCCAACATCTTCTTAAAAACTTCCAATGTTGGAGCATTCACAACTTCCGGAGGCAAGTAGTTCCACTGATTAATTGTTCTCACTGTCAGGAAATTTCTCCTTAGTTCTAAGTTGCTTCTCTCCTTAATTAGTTTCCACCCATTGCTTCTTGTCCTACCCCTCAGGTGCTTTGAAGAATAGTTTTGACTTCCTCTTCTTTGTGACAACTTCTGAGATATTGGAAGACTGCTATCATGTCTCCCCTAGTCCTTCTTTTCATTAAACTAGACATACCCAGTTCCTGCAACCGTTCTTCATATGTTTCAGCTTCCAGTCCCCTAATCATCCTTCTTGCTCTTCTCTGCATGCTTTCCTAGAGTCTCAACATATTTTTTTACATCGCGGCAACCAAAACGGAATGCAATATTTCAAGTGTGGCCTTACCAAGGCATTATAAAGTGGTATTAACACTTGACGTGATCTTGATTCTATCCCCTTGTTTATGCAGATGGTTATATGGCTTTGTGCCTCAGGGAATTTTGTTTTATATGGTCTACCCTGAGCTCAGTAAAATGTCTAACATATAAGTCTATGGAGATTCTCTGTCATCCAGGGCATGGTTGTCCCAAAGGTGCTTTGACTGAGACTCTCCATAGACTTTTAGCTATGCACTTTGGGATGGTCAGTCTTTGAATAGTGCAGGACTATGAATGGATTTCCAGGGTTCTAATTTTTTTTTACTACCGTTTCTATGGACGTGGCTTATTTTGTGGGCATGGCTTGATGGTCATGTGACAGCTCAGAGATCACCAAGGAGCCCACAGTCCTCCTCTTCCTCTTCCTCCTCCTTCCTCCTCCTCCTCCTCCTCTTCTCTGGAAACCCCACTTCCTTCTAGCACCAATGATGTTACCTGGTCAGGTAATGAAATATCTGCAAGAAAACAAACAAGCTCAGAGAACACCGAGGACCCCACAGTCCACCTCCTCCTCCTCCTCCTCCTCCTCCTCCTCCTCCTCCTCCTCCTCCTCCTCCTCCTCTCTGGAAACCCCACTTCCTTCTAGTACCAATGATGTTACCTGGTCAGGTAATGAAACATCTGCAAGAAAACAAACAAGCTCAGAGAACACCGAGGACCCCACAGTCGTCGTCGTCCTCCTCCTCCTCCTCCTCCTCCTCCTCCTCCTCCTCCTCCTCTTCTCTGGAAACCCCACTTCCTTCTAGCACCAATGATGTTACCTGGTCAGGTAATGAAACATCTGCAAGAAAACAAACAAGCTCAGAGAACACCAAGGAACCTTCAGTTCAACCCTGAGCTACCAACTTTCTTTTTCTCTTGTGACTTTCCCTCCATCTTCTCCAAGCCAAGTTTTCAGTGCGATTGACCTGCCATGTCTCAATTTCCTCTTATGCTGGAGCAAAGATAACAGCACATCTCCACTTTTCTCATTATTTGCCTAGAAGTTGATGATATGGGGTTGTGGTTTTTTTTTTTTTTTTTCCTCCCTTGCCTGGAAAATCAAATTCAGAAGCAAGAGATTTTTAATATCCCTAAGCCATGTTCCTCCCCCCTGTTTTTAGCTTTCTGATCATATCGCTTCTCCGCTTAACACCGAGGAGAAGAATTCGGACATGGAGAAGGGTTGGAATTAGAAATCGCTTGGAAAGGTCCCCTCCACAGACGGATGTGGGCCTCTTATTCTCGTCGGGGGTCACATAAACTTGAGGAGAGCTTTGCTTTTCTGAAATGGCTTGACCTACACCTGCCAAATTCATTTCGCTGATGTACCCTCAGGCAGAACTACCGGCGTAAGGAATCCGTGATTACTAGGTCATCTAATTCTCCATGGAATATTTAGCTTTCGAAAAAAAAAGCCATTAAGCTACCTGCTGAGACCATCATTACCTACCCAAGATGGGAAGAACTAACGTTAGAATTCGCCCTCGTGCCCAGGAGGTCTCATCACTGGGACCTAATCATGTTGGGCTTGAAGGGTTAGGTGGTAACTTTTTTTAAAAAAAAAAAAGACGAAAAAAAGAGACTTTCCTGGTTAACGTTGAAGAGCTATCTGGGTTATGCTTTGCAAGTGAAATTCTTACGTTTCGTCCTACTTGTTCCCATTTAAGGTTTGACAATCTGCAGCAGACAGATTAAATCCGAGCCTCTTTCTTCCCTTCTCAACCTCTCTGGGTGTTTTTTTTCTTCATATTATTTCTCTGACTTCCGGTAATTACTGAATATGCTTTATCCTCTGAGTCCTGAAGGTGATTTTTGTTTTTCTCCCAAAAGGCAACTGGAGTTTCTGGTTTTTCTTTTGAAGACTTTTCGCTACTCATCCAAGAAGCTTCTTCAGCTCTGACTGGATGGTGGGGAATGGAAGGATTGATATTCCTTGCAGACAAAAGCTGGTCATTTGCATCCTTTTAGAGGGTCGTTGAGGCCACTTGGAGGTTTACCTGTGTCCTCAGGGTCACCTGAGTAGTGCAAATGGTTCCTGTAGTCTGCAATTTTTTTCTCTGGAAATCCATCCCTACTCCCACACCATTCAAAGCAGGGGTGAAATCCAGCAGGTTCTGACAAGTTCTGGAGAACCTGTAGCGGAAACTTTGAGTAGTTCAGAGAACTGGCAAATACCACCTCTGGCTGGCCCCAGAGTGGGGTGGGAATGGAGATTTCGCAGTATCCTTCCCCTGGAGAAGGGTGGGAATGGAGATTTTGCTTTATCCTTCCCCTGCCATGCCCACCAAGCCACGCCCACTGAGCCACACCACATCCACCAAGCCACTCCCACAGTAGTAAAAGTAATTCGGATTTCATCCCAAATTGTATACCCCAAAGTCTGTAGGGATTCTCGGTCAATCAGGACACGGTTGTCCC